GTACCAAGCCGACAAACTGCGGAGTACCTAAGAATTACAGTCAGACCTCGATATAACGAATTAAATTTTTCAGTGTTTCGAATTCGTTATAGCGGGGATTCGTTATAAAGTAGACAACCCTATTTTGGACAGGGATTAAGTATATATACATCAATTTTACTAGTAAATCCCACCTATTTTATTGTACAAAATACATGTTAACCGTCGCCTGCTTATCATTCAAGTCTTTATCCCTTTACCTTTTGAATCTAATCGCCTTTTCCTCCTTTTTCAAGAGCCTAATTAAATCTGAATCGACTTGGTGATGCTGTTCGCACCATTTTAGCAGTAGCTTCAATTGGCGCTTCAATCTCAGCAGGCTTAAGGCTCTCGTCGACCTCGTCGTCGCCCTCCGTATCTTAACAATTGAGGGCTGGGAATCAGGTGTGCTATGGCCGAAATCTGGTCAAAACACCAAAATTCGTAAGAATCGTACGAATTTTAAACCTCACTTTTCCCAAATAGGGTTAGCCTAATCGGTTAAAACGGTAAAATACACCGCTTTTCTCATAATTTTACGAATTCCCCTTACTTTACATAACGAATTACGTAATAACAAATCAAAAAATTTAACGAATTCGTTATAAAAAAAAATTCGTTATTTTACATACAAATTTCAAAAATTCCTAAAAAAAATTCGCTAAAGCGAGGATTCGTTATGTTGTAGATTCGCTATAGACAGGTCTGACTGTAGGTACCCACAATCCATGTACTTTAGGTACCTATATCCTTATTATGTAATTACGATTATTGTAATTATGTATTCTATTCTTCCTTTTTTTTTACATTCCTTTTTCGGAGTATACCTAAGCCTACGGAAACCTCGGAGGTTAAAATCTAGCTCGGAGCTATTGTCTAACTCTTTTCCCGATTAAGCATTATTTTGAGAGATGTATGTAGCGATCCTCTTCCCGACAGGTCTTCCTACAACTCACTGTGTAGATCTGATGAGGTGGCATCCTTTGTGGGGTCATAATTTGGACTCTTCGCATGGCCGAGCCCCTTGAATGCGCTTCCGGTCGGCATATTGTAGTCGCATGTTATTGCGTTTCCGCGCATGCGCTTGTCCTGGAAGGGGCAACAATATTTTCCGGGTTTTTTTATGGGCTTCCACCTTTACCCTTTTTTCGTTTTTATGAAGGGAGAACTTGCGGTGAATCGTGAATACATACGTAGGCGGGCAGAGAGCGAGCAAATGGTTTACTTACTCAGATGGGGGTTATGGGACTTTGAATTCAGCCCTCCGCCTGTCTTTGTAGATGATGATTTTCTAACCTCAGCGTGTGAAGATATAGTATATGCATGTAGGTATATGTAGTATATGTAGGTATGCATGATGTGGTAGACGAATAAGTCTTGATGCCACCCACATGGTACTCACGATTTCGCTCCAGCAAGGCTGCCCCCTCCCTGCTGGAGTCATCAAGCTCCGGTATTGAAGCCGAATACAGCATTGCTGACGATCATAACCGTGATGTCACGCCCAACTGACAGGCTACTAGCCTTGCTGGAAATGGCAGCGTAAGCAGCCGATCCCACACCTTGTGTCTTTTTAAGATTTCCGTTCCTTGCCTTTATCGGCGGAGGTGAGGCTGTTTCGAGAACGGACATGTGCTATGCCTGTGTCCTGCATGGCTGATCTTGACCTGATTCATACCCCTCGCGCCTCCAACGACGGGTTCGAGCTGTCCAATGATGCAAACTGGTATCTTCTCTCATTCCCGCGTCTATATTGCGTTTCGAACATGGTTGGCGGACAAGAGCGAGACACTAATGCTACCGCATATGCTCACCAACTGCCGACACTTATTCTTCCAACTGGTAGAGAAGGACATAGAAGAGAGGGAGATATCTGCACCCCATGATAACCGCCCTGCACTTACGCGGCTTGCGCGTCTATTAGTGAACTAATATCCCTATCAAGACTCGACGGCGATAGGCAGATAGCTCTGCCTCCGAATAGTAATTGATCGATCAGCAAACTACATGTTTCCTATCAAGCGGTGCTTTTTCGACTGCTACTCCAAGTCTGGCAACATAATATAAATAGTGTCTGCCGAGGAAGCTTGGCCCCAACGGTCGCGTGCGTCCAATTACGATTTGGGGGGCGATGATACTGTAATCATCTAGGATAATATCGGCCGAGCCAGTCACATTGCGCGACAATCACGAGATGCTGTAGCGCGATATGGATGAATAAGAGCGGTACGGTCTAAGGTATGTATAGACCTGTTATTGTACCTAATGTATGTATGTATGTATGTAGGTATGTATGTATGTATGTGTGTATTTACCTATGCATGTATAGTAGCATCTCTTGCAGACCTGGAATACCAGTAGATACCAGTGAAATATTCATGCATAAGGTTGATTCGAAACCGTTCGACAACATCGACTGTTGCAGATGTCTTCCTGCCGTGATAGTCGAGTGATGGGAGAGTATATGTTTCTTGTGCGACATTGCGCATCTGCAAGTCATACATAATATCTGCAGTACGATAATGCTAAAGGGGGCTATTCAAATTTCAACGAGGGATTAATACAGACCTCGAGGAATCTGTCGAGTAAGTCGGTTATGAGGAAATTAGGAACGGAGGCGCTTGACTGAGAATAGAAAGAAAAGAGAGCCAAGTTTTGGTGATTCACTGACTGAGATGATGCCATCGTCACCCTCTTTTGTTCATTGTAGAAGGGGTTAAATGGCGTCTCAGCTTTAAACTCTATTACACCTACAGCATTACACTAGCTTCGCGCTTCGTTGGTCATTCAGCGATCGGGGTGGCGACCGGGCTGGTGCTATTGCCGTAGGTATTGCACTGGCTTTGCGTTCGTTTCTAGAATGTAGAATGGCATTGGCTGTAACATGTACTACTACTGGCTGATACCCCACCATGAATAATCAGGTGTAGTCGCTGATTGGCTTTGTTCGTATTATCAGGTGCTTCTAGCATTCTTCCATCATTCCTCGCCGCTTTATACTGTACGGCTAAAGAAGACAGGGGGGCGTCGACGGACTATTCCGCATGGGTACGAGACCCCCTCATACGCGATTGGAACAAGCTCATGTGATTGGACATCTTGGCTTGATTCTGCTTCTTCTAGCGCCATTCTAGCGTCGCGCCACTTTTTCAATACGTAGCACAGTACGTATGTCACCTCACCTGGCTGAACCTGGAAGCGACCGGGGCGGCCAACTGGAAAGAAGTGGACGCTCTTGATGGTGAAAGATGACGCCGACACAATAGCAGTCAGGCAGATACTAAGGTAAGGCTTCGAAACCTAACCTTATTATTGTTCAGCATTACAACAAAGCGGCACTAGAACTAATAGAGAATAACTATGTGCGCCGTAGCCTTGTTATTGGCTTCGCTGATCTCGCTGGTCTCGTAGGTCTCATACAATAGGTGCGCACGTATGTAGATAGATGTAGATAGGATAGATAAGTCAGGTACATGTACGTAAGAGCAGTGAACGAAGAGGTATGTAATTGAACGTTGGCCGAACCCTTGGAGGGCTTCGCCCAGCCCGATTTGCTTCTCTTCCCACCTGTCCTGCCTTGTCCAGACTGCCAGACCCCCCCGTCTTCCGGTTTTGGGGATACTACGTAGCAGGGTCAGCGCGATCGTCAATGCTTTTATGTTATATTCTAGAAGAATACCGTAGAATGCCGACCACCTATAAATCGTGATAATCGTGACAATTACGGATCTATCAAAAATGGTGGTGTTTCTAGATAAATGAAAACAGCTGCGATAGGTTAAAAGGTTAAGATGGGTACCTAGGTACCTAGTCTATGTACTTATAGTACCGTACAGTGTACCTAGTGTACCTGTAGAAGATTTTCTTAGTCAAGAGTTCCACCATAAGGTTAAAGGGGGCACCCATCGAAAGATCCCAGTCATTCGCCATACATCAGGTACCTTGATCACCCCCAAGGGTGGGTACCAGTACTTGTCTCCCTTTTTCCCTTTAATCTTCCTCCTGTCTCCCACCCGCCTTCTGTTTCTAGTTTCTGAGTGTTCTATCCTATTTTGTCTACTATCTTCCCAGTCTCCAGTCTGCCAGTCTACCCTTCATCAACCGTTGAAGATCCTCTATCCGAAAGCTTTCATTCACCCTTGGCACTTTGCAGCTTTTGCAACTTTTGCACCGTCACCGTCACCGAAAATCTCACCTCGAATTCATTAATCCTTCTCATTCGCATCGGCATCGCCTATAGGAGGAATACTATAGGAATAGGAAACAGCCTCAATTGCTAATACTATTATATTTATACGACTAATTCCCATCGACACCGGCTCTGCGCCTTTAGTTTTAACTATTACCAACCCCATCAACGCCTCTCTTTCAACGACTATTTTGCTGTCGCTGTTACGCCTAGTGGATCTGACTGTTGTGTTTTGGTCCCTCGTTGCGAATTATCTGCGGTCTTCCAGCTCGTCCCTCATTCCACACGGCCTGCCGTACTAGTCCGCTGTAAAACCAAACGACCATTGCTTGTTGGATTTGTTGCACCATCTTGCTCTAGAAGATCGCTAGAAACTCGGGGACTTTTCGACCTCGCCGGATCTACGAATTCGCCCTCGTCTAAGAGTACCAGCTTGAGCATAGAGGAGGCATGTCATTTGCCATTCCCTTGAGGATTTGCTAACCTTATATACGCAATCGTCCATTGCTTCACTTTACGACTGTATTAATTTGTCGCTGTGGATTCGGAACTCTCTGATAGGAGTGGAGATTACCACATTTTATCTCAACCGACTGAGACTGCTGAGTCTTTCATATTCAAACGTGGTTCTCAGTTTAGGTCTAGTGAGATCTAATCTGTTTGTTAGACATCGTCTGAGATTGTGTCGGAAAACAACTTTCTCCACACTTGAAATATTATCGGTATCGGCTTCTCATTGTGTTGTCCGTTCCTTGATTCGCCAGTTTGTATTGGCTAGAATAAGACGGCATTCTGGTTAGCCGACCTGACTCTGGGTATCTTGAAAGTCGCTCGATATCTGCTGTTATCCGTGTAGTGCCTGAGCGGGAGCCTACTGATTGGTCAGAAAGACTTGATCTTTAGGAATACACGGGCTGCCTGCAGATGATGAAGGCCGCTTGAAGATAAGCTAGAGCAAGTATTTCGTACGTTTTCCATAATCTCGTTACGAAACAATCTTGTCAAACAGGAAAGAAGCTTGCCAATTTGCATGGCGTCAGAGCTTGTTTTGGGTTAAATTCGCTGCAAGAGCTTCTGTTTGCTCAGGGTTACACGGCCAGGCGGATTACCCGATACTTGTTCCTTTTGCCATCTTCAAAGGAATAATGGGAAAACCTAGATTACGAGGAAGCTCGCCAGTCTACTTGAACCAATCTCAAACGGAGTTATCACGACCACCGTCAGTCTTCGAGGATTGGGACCAAGAAACTGCAATGGAAACATCACGCCCTACGAGCCTGGCCATACCGCGCACAGGTTCGCCCTTCACTAATCCACCAACGTTGTCGGAGATTCTCTCTAACACAGCACCACCGCCATGGACACTGAGTTCTTTTATGGCCTTCTTGTCCCAAAACCACTGCCTAGAAACTCTCGAGTTTATAATGGATGCTGAACGGTACATGATTATGTATCATCAGATCGCGCAGGGTCAAGCACCTAATGGACCGGCAACAATATGTTCGCTATGGCGGAAAGTCATTGATGCATACATAATGCCATGTGCGCCTCGGGAAGTCAATCTTCCAGCGGATGTTCGCGACCGTCTTCTACAGCTTCCCTGCTGTAAAGCGAACCCGCCCAATCCCTCCGAACTGGACGAAGCAGTTCAGATTGTACGGGAACTGATAAACGATTCTGTTCTTGTGCCCTTTCTTGAGTCTGTCGTATCAGCTACGGTTGAATCACGGGTCGAGGAAGAGTCTCAGGAATATAGACAAGGGCGTTCGCGCCTTCGAATACCAAGGGACATCGGGCACGACGACGAAGCAAGCCAGTCACCTAGATCATCCTATCTTCCACATTTCATCATGGGACGTGGAGCTGGTAATCGGTCCACCTCTGCCTCGGTAGAGACAGTATTTGATTTGGTGACTGATGATAGCAGTCCAAATTCGACTCCTGCAGCCGAGCCAATGACACCACCTACAACCCCACCCACCTCAGATCTTTCTTTTAATACTTCACCTAATAATCTACAAAAAGCCATTTCGGGAAATAGTTGGAAGAAGATGGGTGCGAAGTTAGGATTGACAAAAAAGAACAAGTCCGTCCGTCGCACAGGCTCAACATCAGCCAACCAACCCCCATTATGAGGGTTACAGGCCGCGCCATCACCTGATCTCTCCATCGCTATGAGTAGTAACAGCTCGATACCTACTCTACGAGAGACCGCCAGTATGAATACGCTGTGGGAGGATCCCCACCCCGGCGAGAAATTGGAGATTCCACATGGGATGTCTGCTGGATTATGCACCTATCCGCAGACCGTCAGTGGAGATGTCACGGGTGGCGTGGCCGTGAAAGCGCGTAGCGCATATCAAAATGATGGATCGTGTACGGTTGGGCGCAATGTTCGGTGCCGTCAACGCAGCATTAAGCCCAAACTGTTAAAGATTCCTGCGAGGGTCGTTGAAGAGCCAGAGGCAAAAGGCGGACCAGTAATTATGCCTCAGCCGTGCGGGTTCGTGAAACGACCACTTCGCCTCCTACGTTCCCCTGAATCCTTCCATAGCTTTAATTATGAAACGGATACCGAGACGGAAGCCAGTGCCGAGACTGGAACGGTTGTTAGTGATGCGGAAACCGATCAGACCGAAGTCACTATCGGCCGGACCTCACTCAGCGACTTTTCAAATTGCCTAGGCATATCGCAAGGGGAGGACGATTCGGCACTTACCGTTGTCGATTCTGACGCCTATACGCGAGCCAGTACTGTTGACGATACATACGGCTGGGAAGCAGAACTTGAGCGCAAGATGAAGTGCAGAGTTAGCACGGATTCTGTGTGCCCTTACCGTCATCATAATCAATATCGGACTTCCGATGGCGGTATGCGAAGTCTCTTCCAGCGCGTCTTTTCTGTATCCGGGAGGAGAGTCAATTCCGGGTTTTAGAACTACGTTAAACCATTAAGTTGGTGTTATTGAATTACGTGAGACGGATTAATGAGTTGGATCTACTTTGTCCTTTCGAGCAGGACGATTTACAAAATTTTCTTACCATGTTTACCATCGGCGGTTTGAAATGCATCTGGTTTTATCATTTTCGGCGTTATCATCCGGACGGCCAGGCAACTGGGTCCTACGGCGGCAAGCATCAAAATAAATCGGGTCAAATATGGCATAGAATGGGAAATTAACAGGATTTGGCGAGGCGTTTAAACGGGGGTTTGGATATCACGACTTTTGCTAGATGTAACGAATTTCCGCTCAACGTTATCGTTTTCTTTTTTTCTGGATCGGTTGAAGGACAACAAGCAAGTAAGCAGCGTCGTCTGCAAAAGAACATTGGCTCTAGCATTACACAACACCTGCATTGTATAGAGCGGGGAATTATTGGGCAAGACAAGACAAGCAGAGACAAACGGGAGAGTTTGTGTGCTGATATATCTTCATGTCGATATATCGTAATCCTCGGGTTGTTACTAGTAGAGGAGCCAAATGAATATAGTATGAAAGTCCATGTATATGAAACTGGCTGCATGCAAATTGTTATTCTGTGATCTTGTGTTATGTTACTGCTGCTACGCATGACTTGAACCACTTCATGTAACTATGCGCTTGCGTCTCATCTTCTAAGCTTTGACCTAGTGTTTGTCCAATGAAGAATTGTCATCTATGTAAAGGGATTGTCCATTCAAAACCGTCAATTAAACTTAGTTCTCCCTGTCTAACGTATCAGATCGTAGTATACTTGATGGTTTTTGTCAACAGATTTAAAGAGTCTACCATTCACAAAATGACCAACCTAAGGCTAAACCGCTAACAGCCAACATGTCCTGGCAGAATAATCAATACCCTGGGTCAAAGATCGCGGTTCATAGTCTTTTCTATTTGCTATCGACTATCAAATCCATTACAGCTACATGTCGATAGAGATTAGATCGCCTTCGGCAACGACACTTTTGGACCCATGCCGAAATGCTCCTCCTTAACCCAAGGGAAAAACAAACTACACGCCAGAATTGCTCCATCCAGCCGTCTATATCTCGAATTACGGGTTCCTTTACACATAACCCCATTTCCCATCTCTTTTAGGTTTCCAGGTAAGTCTCCCTTTCTTTCGCTCTAATCCGTCTTAATTACTCTTCTACAACGGGGGGCTTGTTGTGCCTCGAGTACATCTTGTACTCAAGCGAGGAGCTGAAGTCGAGCTTGCCCTTCTCAACCTGGGCCCTGGTTACGGTGAGCATCGGCTCGGGCAGGCCCATTGATTGCAGGAATTCTACGGCTAAAGTGAAATGTCAATTAGTATTTTCCGTTGTACAAGGGAAATAAGTTGCATAAGTTACTCACTGTCCTTCCATTCTCGCTCCTGTCTCTTTCGGTCCCACTTCAGTTCCTGGCTCATGATATCGATGATCTTGGGTAAGCACTCAAGCGCAGCCTGGGCGTTCAGGAAGGCCAATCTCGTTCTTCGTGCGAGGATGTCAACGGCAGTCTGCGCATACTCGTTGGCGATGGCATATTTGATTTCGCCATCCACAAAGGGGTAGAGACGAGCTATCCGCTCTCCTCTCGCGGGGAATCGGAGATCTGTCGGCTTGCACATAGCCGCAACAGTCCACGCCCTGTCACCGTAGCTCTCGGTCAGGTGCTTAGCAACCTCGGTCTCGACGCCAAAGTGCTGAATCAAGTTGATGAACAAGGTCTTGCTGAAACCATGCGCACCAACTAGCCGGACGTTGTGAGTTTGGCATGATCCGTCTAGAATTGCACCGTCGTCTATAGCTTCGGTGCCGCTTACTCGAGGAGCATTAGGGAAGGGCTTGGTAGGAAGGTTAAATTCCTTGACTGCCGCATCCACACAATCCTCAGCCATTTGTCGGTAGGTCGTCCACTTTCCGCCTGCGCATGTCACGAGGCCGGAGCTAGAGATATCAACAAGGTGGTTGCGTACTAGTGACTGCGTGTTCTGGGCCTTGGGGTCCTTGACTAAGGGACGAATGCCAGCCCAAGCGGCAAGCACATCGCCACGGCGAACATGGATATCCGGAGAAAGATAATGGCTAACTTCGTTCAAAATCCACTGGATCGACTTCTCATCGGGGAGGGGGTTTGGAGAGATAGATGTAGGCTCATCGGTCGTGCCCGCGATGGTGTTTCCTTGCCACGGGAGGAAGAAGATAACTCGGCCGTCTGATGTTGATGGATCGATCAATCCCATGTTTGAAGGGCTATAGTAACCGGGTAAGATGACGTGGACGCCCGAAGCTGGTGCAACGATTTCTGGACAGTTCTGGTCGTCAAGTTTCCGGATAGAGTCGGTAAAGGGACCGGTACAGTTGACGATACATTTAGCCTTGACGGTAAACGGATCAGACTTCTTACCATTACGTTCTTCAATGGTGTCCTTCACCAGAGCACCGTTTAGCTTGCCGTTCTCATTCTTCGTCAGCCCAGTCACCTCGGCATGGTTCAAAACGGTAGCTCCATATACCGCTGCGGTCATAGCAATAGAGACGTTCATTCTCGAGTCGTTGTGCGCGCCGTCGTAATATACCAAAGCACCAACAAGATCAGTCTGCTTTAGCATGGGAAATGCATCTAGAGCCTTACTCCTAGTCAAGAAGTAAGAACTTTCGATACCTTCGCTACCGGCAAGGAAATCGTAGAACTTAGTACCGGCCCAGTAATATGGTGCCTTCCACCATTTGTCCAAAGGAAGCATAATAGGTAGCCACGAACTCAGATGAGGAGCTGTCTGCAAGAAATACTTGCGTTCCTTGAGGGCCTCCTTGACTAATTGGTACTGACTGTAATCCAAATTCCATACAGCTTTTTCCAGATATCTCACACCACCATGCACAAGCTTGGTGCTTTTACTACTAGTACCGCTGCTGAAGTCGTCTCTCTCGACAACTGCCACTTTGAGGCCTCTAGTAACAGCATCCAATGCAACACCTGCCCCGGTGGCTCCACCGCCAATAACAAGCATATCATACTCCTCCTCTTCTCCGGTGCTCTTTTTTAGGTCGGCTATCTGCTCCTCACGGGATTTCACTTTCGGAAACCGAGGGAGCTTAAATGTGCCATCGGCGCCATAGATGGGAGGAGGGACCGCGGGACCTTCGAAGCCTGGAATATTCCGGGGTCGATATGAGTACAGAAGCGCACCACCACCAACCGCAGCGATTGTGGTGGGGAGCGCAATGCGCTTCAAACCTCTGGCGAATCTGGACATGATCAAAGAGTTGGACTGGTATTAAGAGTTAACTAGGTGTATTCTGTTAAGTTGCACTGCCAGCAGGACCTTTCTGGCAATATTGGTCGTGTCTATTTGAAGACACGGAACTGCGTTCAAGTGCAAAACTCGAACACAGTAGCCAGACAAACAAGCCGACTCGCTCCCAGCTCGAGCGTGATGCAAGGGATAATATAAAGCTGGACAGAAGACAGCTCTTTTAATCAGCGACCGGCTGGCGGCAAAATTGACGCCAAGTCAGGTCAAATTGCCCTTGAGGCTCGAATTACTTAGGCTAGATGTTGTAAAGAAGAACAATTAGAGAATTAGAGAAATTTCCCTCACTTTGAAAGTGACGAAGTTGAATGGTGTTGGTATGAGCGTGGGGGTTTGACCACGCGGTCAGGCACTTCTCCTTTCGGTTTCGGTGGAGAAGTAAATGGAGAAGAATGGAGAATGGGGACAACTACGACTACGTGTAGAAGTTGATATCAACATTGTATTCGTACCTGATACAAGGTTACGCCGAGAGAAAATACAATGGGAAAGGAAAAGGGCTTGCTTTTAGTTCGTGGTATTAGCTTGTGATGGGTTGGCTGAGAATTGGGTCTGCAGCTCCCTTCCCGGAGTGAAAAAGTGAGCAGTAAGCCCCATACTTTCTCCCACAAAGGTACATTTCCATACCCCACATGCCCCATAATTAGGGATGCAGCAACGGGAACACGGTTGGGCTCGGTATTGTACAATGTCTGAATGTGCATAAAAAGGCTCACTAAAAAATGTTCACTGTGTAGCACAACATTGAAGGTAGCGCAAGTACGCAAGGTTATGCGCCTATCGAGACGGTTCGATTGAGCGGGGGAGAAACAGGGGAGAGCTTCCTAAGATTCCCTTAGACACTTAGGATCGGCAATAGATGTTCCATCAATTATATACGAATCATAGATATGTAGTATCACCTTTGTATATTCAATTGCACAAAGAAGACCTTTGTCTCAGACCTCGTACTTGGATGATTTCAACTGGGAATTATATCGTTTATCCCTCCTCAGTAATTACATACATACCTAACATGTGCATAACTACCTAGTAAATAGGGGTGATCCATACGAGGCAGCTTCTTTTCTCCACGTGCGCGCGTCTCGTCTGACGTACGTACATAGTATTCGAGGTAGCAGTAGTTATGCAACCAAATCCAACCAATCCAACCAATCGCTAGGTTAGCTTCTTTCTTATCGTCATTGCGGTCTCGGGGTAATAGTACCGACTACCTTTGGGGTTCGGATTACCTATTTAGTACATGCGATTAATTTTTGTTTAGTATAATGTTAGAATGTTAGCAACCACATGTTATCGTTAACTATACAGACGAGAAAAAGTTAAAGTCTATCAATACAAATAATGAATAGCTCGTCGACAAATGTAATCACTTCGTTGACTTTCTCGCGCTCTCCAGATAGAGACGTCCTAAAGCCAAAGCCTGCTCCAGCTTTGACCACCGTCACGTTGTCCGCGCTGATGGGGGATTTCGACGGAGCAAACGCACCGCCACCACTAACATCGTCGATCTGTATTATATCTACCTGGATCTCCTGTGACACCATGATGCCTCCGAAAGAGGAGGATTGCTGCACCACCGCTTTGTCAGATATCGTATCATTCCACGACTTGTGACGATCGGGGAAATCCTGATTGAATCGCTTCACCGGAGAATTGCAAACATCTGATTTAAAATTAGAAAATATTCGCATCAATTCCGTCGGTGTTGAGCAGCCATCTTCAATCATAGCATAGTCATTGGTTTTCGACCGTCTAAAACGACGCAATGAACCCAAGCGGTTCCGCCAGAATATGGCTCGCCCGGCTCGTTGATATGTTGCAAGTGGCTTATTGATCGACACTGCATTTACGGTCGGGGATAGTTCCCGATGCACGTACCGTGTAAATGCAGCGAGATGAGGTGAATTCTTATATGCCATCTGATGAATCTTGAAGAAATTTAAAGGTATGAATTCGCACCTGGGGTTACTGGCGCTGGCGTGAATCGGCATCATAATGCACAGAGCAATCATCGTGCAAGACTCTGAGCTTAACCCAGCTCGAGCTCTGCAAGGTACTTGGACCACCCTAGAAGTTAATACGGCTTCGTCGAAAACGGGGTCATCTACCCAAGCGCGAAGAGATTGGAGAGCGTCAGACAGCTGCGAAGCAAACAGTACCTCTCGAGGAGAGAGCCTCCTCAACGCGTTAAGATTTTGGAACAAAGCAGGAACATTCATTCTGTCAAGCCGACGAATAACTGTACATCAAAGTCAGTTGTGAAAGTGCGTGTACGGGGGGCAATGAGACAAAACAATACGCATTAGACATCGAACTTTCGATCAGGGCCGAGTCGACAATTGACTTAAGACTATTGACACAGAGAGGTGTTTGATATACGTACCATCCATCTGCCATGATTCTAAACGTTCAAGAGGCACTGGCATAGTAGGGAGCAAGTTCCGAGCGCCCTTTTTAACCACGATGTCGAAACCAAAACTTCCTACGCGAGCCTTGATGCCGAAGAAGCCAATATGTACGCCACGGTCCAACATAGCGCTCCCTTCGGCCAATATCGCCATGCTTCTTAGCTTCCCCTTGAGGTCCCTGCTCTTTATCTTCATACGAGATCCGATAATTCCACACGCCTGATGAGGCTCTGCAAACCGGAAGCCAGCGGCCTCCAGTCGATCTGCTTCATGAGAATGCTCGAGATGGCGGACCAAAAACATCAATGAGCCACATCCGTAATCCTGGTGTAGCCTGACCCGGAGGCTATGTGCCCTACTATATCCGCCATAGCCGCCTTTTTCTAGCAGGTTGGCAAGGCTGTAGTTGAGTTTATGAGGTAGCTCGTCAATCCCGGTGGCTAGAATTTCATCCCATAAGATACCCATGTCAACGAGCTTCTCTTTTAACTTGTCTGATAGATTCACGGCTGCGACGCAGAATAATTCACGAAATATGGTATCATAATTCTCGATTAGTTTGCCCTCATCGTCAACGAGACGGATATTGGTATCGCGGGTATCCTTGGGCAAACGCGCCAGGTGTTTAACCATGCCATCAACCATACCGACTACGCTATTCCAATTTCGAGAGACCTGGAACATCCAATGGAAAAGGGGATGAGAAATACCGAATGTGTCGCCTTGATTCTTTTCCACATAAGTGTCTGTAATCTTCTCGCTGGGCAGCGAGCCGTCTGGACTCACTAATATCCTCCCCGACTTATCGAACACCGCGGCCGCCAAGACAATTTGTTGGGCCTTGTTCGCATTTCGTCTCGTGGCGCGTGTTGCGAAAATGATGGATCCTGCCATGAAGAAAGCTGCGGGAATTAACAAGCATATGAAAATTATGATGACCTGACTCTGAGAGAGTTAAGGGTTGCCATTCGTATGTTTCAAGCAATAATTTGTACCAACAGCCGCAACCCAGTGCATTCCAGACACGGCACCAGCCAACAAATGTGCGGATAGCACACATTTTTGCCACGAATTCTTCCAGGACGCTCTACAGACGAAGAATAGTGATAGGGCCATGATACTATCAACCACAGCGATGACTGCTGCCCCCGCAATAAACACCTTATTATATATACAGTCATAGTTGGTGATAGAAGCGTTACCCAAGTATTGCATCCCACAAATACCACCAGCAAGTACGCCTCCGTAGCATATTCGCCATCCGGAGGCAACAGGGCGTTACTTGGCAACTACCAAGATGTCAATTTCAAAGGGGACCAGAGCTTTACAGGAGGTCTCACCATTGGGGCCAAACTTGCTTTTTGAATAGTGCAGTAGAAGCAAACGCAGAACCATAGGCATTGATAGCAAGTCTGGTATGACGGGACTTAAAAGGATGTCACAATTTGGCATATACGGCATAATACCACGGTATAGGAAGAGTTGCTAGATATTCTATAAGAAAGCTCTCATCATATGTCCAGAGCTGGCAATTTAAGACGCAGCAGCCTCAAGCGAGCATATTCTACCGAGTTCGCCGATTAGCAACACACGGAGAATGAGCAGGAACCAATGAAAAGACTATCAAGAACATACATAGTCCTACCGGTTACCTAGGTTCCACATATAACATGGTCTACGAGACGAGGTCTATTGTCTACGATGGACAGACACCTTAACCTAGGTACCTCATACGGAGATCTTGAAGGATTGGGGGCTGTAGGTTCTTTCCGTTGCATTATCCCCAGCCCTTACATACATTGTGCTACGATATCCTCTGATATTTCGCTACTAAGTATTCGGTAACTTAGCCTCAACGTTGAATTAACACTTTATCTCATCGGTAAGTAGCTACCTACTGCTTCTATTTATCTGCTACTTCTAATGATTCAACCCATATAGCTAGCCCTAGGTCACACGGCTTTCCTTGTCGCATATTAACACTTCACCTTGATTAGTCATTTTTATGCTCACCGTGAAAAGAAAAAGATAAGCACGCCACAGACGCCGGCGTTCACATTCGGTCGCTGACATTAAGCTATATTTTCCCCGGTTATTCAGCTAGTAATATAAGCCATTAGACGAAACCTGCTCTTGGTTTTATGTCGAATGCGAAAAAACGACGCCGTAATCGCTAACGAGCAATTACGCCTTATATATTATGCAACATTTTATCAACGCCGTCTAACTTGATCCCATGATACTCCGGACAATTTCCCTCAGGAGTACATGCTCAAGTTAGTCCCCGGATCAGTAATCTTCATACTATTTAGAAACGGAGACCGGCAACGAGTGGCTTGTCGATCACCTACCTTAGCGGATTAACCAGAAGGCTACCCCATCCCTACTTCCTAGAAAAGGAGGGGACGAGGCGTTACCCGCTACTCGTTTACACGGGGTTATCCGGTGAATCCGACATAGCCAATTACTGTTCGAGTCTCAGATACTTAGGACTAAGGGGTCTATATTAAATATGTAGCTCCGGTTGGCGTCACTTTCTTCAGAACAAGGTTTGAACAATTCGACTTTACTTTTGTCGAAATACGCCATATACATAGTACCAAAGTAGGGAGAAATTGTTACAAAATCAGGTGGTAATATAATACATTTAGGAACCAGTCATATGAGCAGGCCGAAACTTACCAAATTCTAACACGTCAAACGCGGCCTCCTAACAACGGCTCGGTCCTTGGACTCAACTAGGGATATGTCCTACAAGTAGAATAAGATGGTGTCTATGATAATATATGGAACATAAAGGAATCTATATGTATATATATAACCTCATTTCGAAAAACAATAGCTTGTATGTAAGGTCTACTAAACGAACTGGTGAACGTTAAACTTATATGATGTTTGTACATTACTGCACAAGTACCTTAAGCTATGAATATTACTAGACAGTTCCTACATATTAACACACGATGCTGTCGCCTATTACAAACTGTCTACTGTCTTTACAGGTAATAGCAATACTATTACTTAGTTCAAAACTTGAATAAATACTAGACAATTCACATGTAACTTCTTATAGTCGTAGTTTCGTGTAACTAAGCACACCTATAATACAAGTATGTATTATCGTACTCTCAAAGCCCCACTACGCCAAAAATGCAAAGCGTAACCCCACGTTGCCCCGCATACGTCAGTCTCTGCGATGCCGCTGTGATACTCGATTAGCACCGAGAATAATGATAATTCGTCCAATTTTCAACATCATCCGTCATTTTCGTGAGTCCCACGTCGCCGTTTACTTTTGTATACCCCATACAAAGCCTTTGATATTAGATTATTATCAATCGGAAGCAGCAATCGCAGATATTTAAATTCGAAGTTATACTACCCCAGCGCGAGTAGTACCGAAAATGGCGCCTCCAGAGTCCGCCAATCTTCTGGCGGCCCTGCCCCCCTTCAAACCCGACCTATACCAGCGCGCCTGGCAATCGATACCGCACCCAACCCTCCCCCTCCTAGCCACCGCGCACCAGAAGTCCGTCACCGTCTTTTCGCTCTCGACCCTCTCCGCCCACAGCGCCCTGACCAACGGCCACGACCGCTCCGTGCGCTCCACAACCTGGAAGCCGAACCTGCCGCCTCACAAGCTGTGCTTGGTAACAGGGAGCTTCGATTCCACAGCGGGGCTGTGGCGCTGGAACGACGAGGCCAAAGGAGACTTGGAAGTCGACGTTACAGAGGAGGATAGTGATGATGATGATAAGAAGGAGAAGGAATGGGACTTAATTGTTATCCTAGACGGCCAGGACTCGGAAGTCAAATCCGTCTCGTTTTCGCCCACGGGACAGTTCCTCGCGACGTGTAGCCGGGACAAATCCGTCTGGATATGGGAAGACGTAGGCACGAACGAGGAAGACGACGAGTGGGAAACGGTCGCCGTTCTCAGCGAGCACGAAGGCGATGTCAAAGCCGTAGCGTGGTGTCCGGAGACCAATAGAAGCGGGCGCGGGCGGTATAGCAGCGACGTGCTAGCGAGCGCGAGCTACGATAACACGGTGCGGATATGGCGGGAGGAGTCTGAGCAGGAGTGGGTGTGTGTTGCGGTGCTTGAGGGCCACGAGGGAACTGTCTGGGGCGTGCAGTGGGAGCCGAAACCACGAGGGGAGAAGTTCCCGCGGATTATGACGTGGAGCGCTGATCGCACCGTGAGGATATGGACGCTCAAGGAGGAGGAAGACGAGGAGGAGGCGCCGCAGCATGCGTGGGGGAGTCTGGGAGGGATACCGAATACTATGCGAAGGGCGCTGAAGGAGGAGTGGGAGTGTACTGCTGTGCTCCCTACGGCGCACACGCGAGATATATACTCGGCGTCATGGAGCCCTGGGTCCGGTATGGTTGCAAGCACCGGCAGTGATGGCGTTATTGCTGTATACCGCGAGGACGAGGAGGGAGCCACGAACGGGGTCCACGCTACGGATGACGAGGCGGCTGCTGAGTTAGATGGGGATGTCCAGATGACGAACGGCCATACGGAAAACAACAAGCCTCAAGAATCTCGAAGATGGAAGCTAATATCGACGACCCCTAATGCCCATGGCGCATATGAGGTCAACCATATCACCTGGTGCAAGCGCTACGATCAGGGGTGCGCACCCGAGAGGAGAGGCATCGAAGAGATGTTAGTTTCGACTGGAGACGACGGCATCGTTCGACCGTGGCAAATTATACAATAATTAACCCAGAGGGTCTTGTTATAATACATCACTCAAACTGTATATAACGTCGAGGGAATCTTGGCCCTTTGTTCGGGCCGAGCTTCTCGCTATATAGGACGAGCTGTCACATTGCCGTCCGTCGCTCGATTTGCTTAGGTTAAGGTACATTAGGTAGACAGGGAAGCCCAATGCGACGAGCAATCTGCCAGAAATCAAGACGCGACAATGATTAGCCATTGCTCTCTTAGGAGAATGCGATGAACCTACAAAAACCGTACAATGCTTATTCAAGGGGGGATAAAAATAAAGAGAAAAAAGGCCTTGGGGCGGACGCCGTCTAAGTTCCGTTCTAATACCTCCGGTCTAATACCCCGTAACTCCTTATTTTCCCTGCGTCAACGCCTCATTATCCTCGAGGGGACGTATAGACAAACAGACAAACCAGCATATTACATCACCTCATATAAATGCGCCCGGATACACGTTTAAGTGATACTCGCAGCAGCACAGGATATACCCAACCTTCCGCCACGCACACCTCGAGCACCAATCCGCCCCGCGCCGCTTGCCTCGTCCAAGGCCAGTCACCGTCGAGAGAAGACTCCAGTGCTGATCCGCCGGTCGCCTGCAAGCCTTGCAGACCCAGGGCGTAGGGCGTCTGGAATGAGGACGAGCCTGCGACGGTCGTAGGACTGGGCGTGTGCCCGAGTTGCTCTGGGCGGTCCTGTCGGCAAACGACAGCTCTATCGCCGCGTACTCCTGCTCTTGTTCTGCTGTCAGGGGTATCTCTCTGTAGTGTTTTGGGCCTGGGATGTTGTGTGGTGGATATCCGGGTCTCTGGGGGTATGCGTGGATGTCGACTGTTTCGACGACCGGGGGTGAGTGCCGTTTGCTGGTGTTGCGAAGACGGGGAATTCTAACGCCGCTTTCACTGCTGCTACTGGTGCCGGCACTGACGGCGGCAGGTTCGGGATTTTCACCGCTCTTGCTACTACCGGGTTGGCCGTCACTACTGGTGTTAGTTGTAGCGGGAGTGGTGTGCAGATGAGGCAGATCGCTAAAAGTAAACGATGGCTGCCGGCGTAGTTGGCGCCTCGGTGGCGACTCAGTACGACTTCTACGACTCCTGATGGTGCTCGCGTTGGACTCTTTGTGTTTCAGCAGAGACGAGATATCTGACGTTGACACGGTACTAGCCCCGCCGCCATTACTGCGCAACGTCGTTCTGCTGCGCTGCTCGGCAATAGGTGCAAGCTCGGTGCCATGGCCATACAGGAACGGCGTCTCGAAGGCCGCGATCTGCGAGAGCGGAGACTCCGAGTTGGGGTCTATAGGCGCGGGGCACGGCGCCGGCGGAGTGGCGGGCCTAGCTGCTACCGGAGACGCCGCACTTGAAAACGGCGTCGAGGCTTGACGAGGAGATTTCGTACTGCTGCTCGATTCCGATACCAAGGTTGCATCGTGGATTGAAGCGTGTGAACTAGGAATACCCTCGGAGGAGTCCTTGTGATCCCATTTGGGATGAAGAGGGCGCTGTTCCGGGGCGCTTTTGGTGCTAAGGTTGGATCTATTGGAGAGGGGGATCCGGGATTTGGTAGATAAGTGGCGTCTTTTGAAGAGGGTACGTTTGGGAGAGGAGGTGGTACTGGTATTGTCCATGTTATTTGTTATATGCTAGTGTTTAGTGTTGATACTTTTTGCAATGATTTATCTAGTATCAAGATGATGATGGTGCAAGTAAAATCTACGCCGACTTTCTGAGGGCTAGAGCAGAGAGCAGAGCACTTCTGAATGATGAGATGCTGTGATAGGAAGATGTAGATGTAAGTTGGACCGATTCTAAGATTAGTAGGTATCTTTTGCTCACGCGACATTAATCGGTACTTGAAGTCATCTGGTGCCTATAGGTATCTTTTAAGGTTGCGCCTGCTGTTTCTTCGTTATGTCGTCGTGGTTACCATCACCGCTTTACCCGCTTGGGGGGAAGGCGTATAAACTTTAATACATGTAAGAAGTAGCCATCAAAGGGAAGTCCCTTCTACATAATCTAGTTCTCGGTCTACATCTTAGCAGGGCAATTAAAATCGGTCAATTACTTACTTAATGTACCTACCTACTTTCACCGACTATAAGAAAAAACGAAGTCGAATTGCATATTTTTATGGAACCGTCTTAATTGTACATTGTAAAAAAACATGTTATTAATCCGTCGTTTAAAAGACTGCCCAGTTGGTATCATACTATCATACTATAGGTAATTACGGAGGCTAAGCCCGTTACGAGAGCGTGTTTCATGCAATCCCTTTTCCCCATCTAACCCAAATTGAATGCCCCAATGCCTCTAGGTAGGTACCAGGTAACCAGGTAAGGTATGCAATTCTCTCACCGCTCCGTGCTGACCTGGATGCCCTCGGCAGCCAGTGCTCTTTGATAATCGGCTATAGCCTTATCTAGAGATTGTATCGTGGGCTCCATGAGCTTAAGAACCGCTTCCTTACCGCCACGAACAGACTTAGAATTGAACTTGATCTTTCTCTTGGTCTGTTCGTAAATTCGTATAATTTCATCCTTTCTCTTCTTGATTTGCGCTTCTCGTGCCGTCTCGGCTTCTGCCGCAACTGCGTCTATCCTTTCTTTAGATCGCTTAAGAGCTTCGGCCAGATATCCAAGCTCGATAGCCCGGTCAGGGTCACCAGATAAGAATGTCGACCAGAATTGATGCAGGAACTCTATGGTAGTTGCGTGGGTTAAACTGCAAGAATGGGCGATATCTGCAGGTAACCCCATGGGCGAAGCTTCATCTGAGTCGTGACCGAATAATTGAGAGCGCCTCTGCCCCATACTCTCGAGGATTTGTTTCTGTGCACTCTTTCGCGACGCTCGCGACCCTACATGAGGAACCTTCTCTCCCTCATCTTCGCTGTCGCTGTCTTCATTGATACCTAATGAAGCGTGAAGATCGACTCCTCCAGCACTATACGTGTTCAGGCTTCTCACATCGCCTTGTACACCCTTGAGCACTTCCGATGGGTTCTGCTTTGCGTATACCGCTGCCGTCTCGGAGATGGTGCCGGTTTCGTTCGAGGAGAAAAACCTGCTTTGTTCTTTGATGTTTAGAATTATGCGGTTCTCTTCAACATCCCCCCGTAGATCGCGTAGTGCGAGTTCTCGATAACTGTCTTCATCTAACTCTGCTTGCTGAGTAGAGTCATTTTCGAACGATACGACAGTAGTTAGTAACTTTTCGCTGATGCTATTTAAAGTTTGAATGATTGGTACATCTTTTCTTCCCCTTGGTCGCATCTCGATATCCTTCCGGTTGCCGCTCCTGAAACCACCCTGGTTCTCTTCGTTGCCTTCTATATCAATGATGTGAGGCACGTGCTGCGCTAGGAACTTGCTGTTGAAGGCCTTGATATCATCATACTCATCATATTTATCGAATATTTTGTCAGGTGGCTCTAAATCCGTGACGCGTTCTCCCCTTAGCTTTTTTGATAGCTTACTCAGGAAGAACCTCATCCAAAACTTATCCTGCTCTAGGGGCGGCACGTTCTCATTGTAGATGCGTTTGACGAGAGGGTGCTGGCTGAATATCATCTGCATCTGCTCGACGCTAAACTTCAGCTTTAATTCACTGGGTTTATCTGGATCTGTGCTCTGCTGTACGGTAGGCCGCACTTGAGCTAAAACATTGTAGGGTCCTTTCTTCTGGCTATTCTCGATGGCATGGGCTCGAAGTAAGTTGATTCTCGCAGTCCAGAATTGCGTGTTAAATGTAGCATCTGATATGGAATCGGGCTTCATCTTGCGACCTTCCATGTACATCTGAGAAAGGTTGCGATCCGCCTTCATAAGTGATTGCTGTAGCGCAATGTCGCTCTTTAAAGCATCGTCGTCGAATAGACGCGCTGCTGCCGACTTGGATACAGCGGTATTAGCGAATGCCATAGACGCTGAGCCGCTACCCCCGGTAGATGTTGTAGCTGCTCGCGGGACACTAGGGTCGTTATTCTTGGCCTCGGCAAGAATTTTGGATAAGAGATCTCTGATAGCATTGGCTTCTGCCCTTGGATCTGAGGGGGAGTTGAAATGGAAGAGGTAGGCCACCGGTTCAGCATCCTCTGAGGGTTTATCAAATATCTTGAGCATGACCTTGGCAGCGGTATCTGGGGTTTGTTGTAGATCTAGGTAGAAAATGATAAGTAATTATGAATTATGATTGTTGAGAGAAGACTTACTGGTGATATTCGATATCTTTAGAGATACCGTCGGTGCGCCATCTGGTGCAGAGTTCGGGGTCCAGATGACATTTTTTCGGTCCGGGGTGAGGGTGAGTATGCCGTCTTTTTTCTTGTAGGCAGCACCACCTGTCTGGATTGCCATCGTGTAGGTACAACGAGATAATGAGGACGACAAAGAAGGACTGCTATCTCGAAAAGAAAAAAAAAAAAACCCGGTTAACTGCAGGATACAGTTGCCTCTAAGGACGCCAACTAGATCCTCACCCGGCCTTTTAGATGTGTCGGTTTTGTGATGTAGTACTTATGGTATTCCGTTTTAAAATTAATTACTTGATAGATACCTCCGAATGAGAAGTGATATGATCAAGAGGTGTCTAAAATTTAGGATGGTAATACTACAACACATCCATATGGCAAGGCTCCTGTACTATGTAGGCGCTTGTCTTTGGGCCAACCCTGAGATTTCTTGAGTATATTACGTCTTTGTTGTTAAAGAAGTAGGTGAGTTGAGATTCCGCTGAGGTTAACCTTAAGATGAAGAGCTCAAGTGCTTGCCGTAGACAAAACGGACTGTTCCAACGAAGGGCTGTTTACATGTACTTTTGTACCTAGATGTACTCACATTTGAGGCTGAGTACCCCACATGATAACGAAAGCCACACTTAGCATGGCTCAAATCGTGAAGATACATTGCACTTAGATATCCTGGTATAAATAAGCATTTCAATTGGACAAAATAGGTTAGTATCTCGATGTGTACAGCTCAGTAACCAAGATGCCAAGGGGTACCTAATGTACTTCACCAGGTCATGAGCGCATTCCACGTTGATAGTGGGGTTTGCTTAAGGGATATGACACTTAGGTACGTATGACACTATGACACTATCCAAATAATTACCTAAACACTTAACACTCCCGTTATGGAACCCGTAAAAATTTAGGAGTTATAGAAATGCGGTAAAGACACCGCTTGTACTAGAGATATTTGTTTCCATAATTGTTTCGATGATACCTGTTTCGGGGTCAATAGTCGAAGTCGTTTCGGCACGTCATCATAGAAGCTAGCTGAGCCAACTGCCGTCTCGTCCTGTGACACACATTGCGTGGATTAATCAGTGCCTTAATAGCAAGCAAGCCTTGCGGACAGGATATATGCTGTGTGATTGTTGTACCTATAATAAAAATATGTGTCATATCGTATAAGCGCAAAAAAAGAGCTATTTGAGCGATTAAAAAAGCCTCGATTGTAGAATCTGTATAAGTGTTAAAAAGGCCTACCATTGCCTCGGTGGTTTTTAGGAATTTTTTTGCGGCAAGAATCGGGCCTTTCTACCGAATTAAAACGTCAAGATTAAAGCCGTCGCCCTAAACCAGCCTAACCCAACTGTGTTCCAGAAGCCGAATTTAGCCTGTAAATACAAATTTAACGCTTAAATGCATGTAGCGATAGCCGAACAATATGGGTTATAAACATCTATAATATTGTTTAATCGTATAATCGGCATTGCCGGGTCTTCTTGGCTCCTAGATCTGCGACCGGGTGACGACAGGGGCAGGGGCAGTCGCAGTCGCTACGTTTTTCATTTTCTCCAAACTTGGGGAGCATATGACCCTTTCCTAAGTCTACCTATTCCAGTTTCTCTCCTCCAGCACCTCAACTCACTAAAGGTACTGTTCAAACCTAGACTTACTCCGCCGCTCCTTAATCTCTTCTCGAGATCATAGCATCTCGTCCTTTGGTAGGAGTTTAATAAAGTCGTTTTCTGGGGTTTTTACATGCCCGAGTAGACAACAAGTTTATCATTTTGTTCTCTTATACAGACCTAATACATTTTTATAGCTGTCGAAGCATCAGCCTGGCGCCATGCTGAGTAGCACCCTCCGATCTTCGAGCAGCCAGCTTCTTAGAGCTAGCTGCCGCACCTCGAAATGTATCTCCCAATCCTCGAGATGTTTCTCCCTTAGCGCCGCTCGTCGTCCTCTCGCCATCGCCGCCCAGAAGAGGTATTCCTCTACTACGACGTTGGCACCCTCTCCTAATGACAACTTCCTATCCGGTAACACTGCCAACTACATCGATGAGATGTATATGCAGTGGAAAGAGGATCCGGAGAGCGTCCATGTGTCATGGCAGGTCTACTTTAAAAACATGGAGAGTGGCAACATGCCCATCCACCAAGCTTTCACCCCTCCTCCCACTCTCGTTCCCAATGCGACTGGCGGTGTTGGGCCAGCCGTGGGCGTGGGAGTCGGGCAGGGCTCTGACGTTATGAACCATTTGAAAGTCCAGCTTCTAGTTCGCGCGTACCAGGCTCGTGGCCACCACAAGGCCGATATCGACCCTCTTGGTATCCGTAATGAACCGAAAGGTTCTTCGAATACCAAGATTAAGGAGTTATCCCTCGACCACTACCAATTTACCGAAAAGGATCTCGATAAGGAGTTCACCCTGGGCCCGGGTATCCTCCCGCGCTTCAAGCGAGAAGGTCGGGACAAGATGACTCTGCGCGAGATCATTGGTGCTTGCGAGAAAATCTACTGCGGGTCCTATGGTGTCGAGTTTATTCACATTCCTGATAGGGCTAAATGCGACTGGCTGAGGGAGCGCATCGAAGTTCCCCAACCCTTCAAGTATTCGATTGACGAGAAGCGCCGAATTCTCGACCGTCTAATCTGGAGTTCCAGCTTCGAATCCTTCTTGGCTACCAAATATCCCAATGATAAGCGATTCGGTTTGGAGGGTTGCGAGACCCTCGTACCCGGAATGAAGGCGCTCATCGACCGAAGTGTCGACTATGGCGTTAAAGATATAGTTATCGGAATGCCTCATCGTGGTCGTCTTAATGTGCTCAGCAACGTCGTCCGCAAGCCGAACGAGTCTATTTTCAGCGAGTTCGCAGGTACCGCTGGTGCTGAAGACGAAGGGTCAGGAGATGTCAAATACCATTTGGGTATGAACTTCGAGCGTCCTACGCCGTCTGGCAAGCGCGTACAGCTTTCTCTCGTGGCCAACCCCTCTCATCTTGAAGCCGAAGACCCAGTCGTTCTAGGAAAGACCAGAGCTATCCAGCATTACAACAATGATGAGGCGACGCATCGAACTGCTATGGGCGTGTTGTTACACGGTGACGCTGCTTTCGCTGCCCAGGGTATCGTATATGAATGTCTTGGTTTCCACTCCCTCCCTGCCTTCTCAACTGGTGGAACAATCCACTTGGTCGTCAACAACCAGATTGGTTTCACCACTGACCCCCGATTCGCTCGCTCGACCGCGTATTGTACAGATATCGCCAAGGCTATCGATGCGCCCGTCTTCCACGTGAATGCCGACGATGTTGAAGCCGTGAACTTTGTTTGTCAATTAGCCGCCGATTGGCGCGCCGAGTTCCAATCTGATGTCGTTATCGATCTCATCTGCTACCGCAAGCACGGTCACAATGAGACAGACCAACCCTCCTTCACTCAACCCCTAATGTATAAGCGCATCAGCGAAAAGGAACCTCAAATCAACATTTACGTAGAGAAGTTGCTCAAGGACGGTACTTTCACGAAAGGAGATGTTGAGGAGCACAAGCAATGGGTCTGGAGTATGCTAGAGGAAAGTTTCGCCAAGTCTAAAGATTATCAGCCAACTTCCAAGGAGTGGACTACCTCCGCTTGGAACGGCTTCAAGTCCCCCAAGGAGTTAGCGTCTGAGGTTCTACCGCACATGCCGACCAGCGTGGATCACAAGACTCTGGAGCACATCGGTAAGGTCATTGGCTCTGCTCCCGAAGACTTCCATCTTCATCGCAACCTGAAGCGTATCCTACAAAACCGCACGAAGTCAGTACTCGAGGGTAAGAACATTGACTGGTCGACCGCCGAAGCTCTCGCCTTCGGTTCGCTCGTCACCGAAGGCCACCATGTTCGTATTTCCGGCCAAGACGTAGAGAGAGGTACCTTCTCGCAACGACATGCCGTCTTCCACGACCAAGAAAACGAGAGAACATACACCCCCCTACAGCACGTCAGCAAGGATCAAGGCAAGTTTGTTATCTCTAACTCGTCCTTGAGTGAGTACGGCGCCTTAGGTTTCGAGTACGGTTACTCGCTATCGTCGCCAAATGCATTGGTCATGTGGGAGGCTCAATTCGGCGACTTTGCCAACAACGCGCAATGTATCATTGACCAGTTTATCGCCTCTGGCGAAGTGAAGTGGATGCAGCGAACCGGTCTAGTCATGTCTCTCCCCCACGGCTATGACGGACAAGGCCCCGAGCATTCTTCTGGGCGTATGGAACGATATCTACAACTCAGCAACGAGGACCCGCGCGTATACCCGTCCAAGGAAAAGCTCGAGCGCCAGCACCAAGATTGTAACATGCAGATTGCGTACATGACTACGCCTGCTAACCTGTTCCACATTCTTCGCCGACAGATGCACCGACAATTCCGAAAGCGTAAGTTATCCACATGATATCTACTATGGTGTATATAATTGCTAATTGTTGTAGCCCTTATCATCTTCTTCTCCAAGTCGCTACTACGACACCCTCTAGCCCGTTCCAACATCGAGGAATTCACTGGTCCTGATGCTCATTTCCAGTGGATTATTCCCGACCCTGAACACGAAGCTGGTAGCATCAAGCCCCCCGAGGAAATCGAACGAGTCATCCTCTGCACCGGTCAGGTGTGGGCGGCGCTTCACAAATACCGCGCCGACAACAAGATCGACAATGTTGCAATTACCCGAATTGAGCAGCTCAACCCCTTCCCTTGGGAGCAACTTAAGGAGAACCTAGACACGTACAAGAACGCCAAGACCATTGTCTGGGCTCAGGAAGAGCCCCTCAATGCTGGCGGCTGGAGCTTTACCCAACCGCGTATCGAAACTCTCCTGAACGAAACCGAATTCCACGACCGCAAGCACGTCATGTACGCGGGCCGAAACCCGTCGGCATCGGTTGCCACTGGTCTGAAGGCTGTTCATAAGAAGGAAGAAGAGGAGTTGTTAGAGGCGGCGTTCACAGTGACGCAGGATAAGCTAAAGGGCGAGTAGACGGAAAGGAAACCAAAAAGTAAAGCATTGACATGAGGACGGGGCGAGCATTGTTATTTTCATGTTTTTGTATTTTATCTTGTGTATAAGGCGGCCTCGGGGACCACAATTGAGGCTACATAGACGGGCGGTTGCTAATGGGTTTCCAAGTACCGTATTCCAAGTACCGTAATGGATGATTTTGAACCTTCAAGCCATATGTCTGTGCTGTGTGATCATTATCCGCCGCCGAGCGTAGCAGCCGTATACCTACCTATGTAGGATGCACACTATCTATTTCCCGTGCGGAGAAGAAGCATCTATCGGACCGGGATGTTCGAAGAAGGTGAATGGAAGCTTTGCCGAGTATATGTATAGGTAGGTAGGTAGGTAGGTATCATAGCCAAAGAGCTGGGGTAATGATAAGCACCTTGTTTCTCAACCCCGATTTGCCAATGACAGCAACTTGCTTTATCTTGGATATCACATATCAGCCCTGTGACGAAATTCAGTTAGTACCAACAAATAAACTCCAATGATACCAGCCATCATTGTCTTGGAACAAGATTTATATGGTTGTTTTTCTAAGATTCAGATATATCAAGGGGTTTCCGCTAATGTAGATGGTCGCACAAGCACTCCTTAAATTCCTCTCAACGCGACCATAGCGATGGATTCCTTCACCTTTCGACAGCGAGGCCATGCTATTAAGGAGAAGACACAGGCTCGACTGACGGACTGGCATAGCTGGAAATTGCCCAAGCAGACCAGCAGTATTGCCCCGGCTCATATATGGACGAATGCCGGTGCGTCTTTCTTTTTTTCTTTTTTTTTCTTTTTTTAATTATATTCGGCTGTCGTCGGGTTCTTGCTATTACTAACAGCCGCTGGCCTGTATAATAGACCAAGATCCGGTCCCAGAGGAGAAGCAGACTTGGACCAAGTGGGCGTTCATTGGCTATTGGTACTCGGACTTGGTGACTGTGTCGACATGGACTGCTGCCAGTGCTATAATGACAACCGGCTTGACGGCTACTGATGCTGTTCTTATCGTTCTTGTTGCGGCTATAGTATGTGCCTATATTCTAAGATATTTCCTCAAGCCCCTTATACCCCTCTATCTTATTCAAAAGAACTCTTATTCAAGACTGCAAGCCCTTGGAAGAGTTAGGTCTACTCACTCAACACTACGCTGATATAAATCGTACTTGTAAATGTTAACTTGACTACCGCAGTGCAATGCGATCCCAACGGTCTTAAATGGTGCCATCGGCGCTGACTTGCACATCCCGTTCCCTATTGCTTGCCGAGCTAGCTACGGTTACTGGCTAAGTTACTTCTGCGTCGTGACGAGGGCTATAATAGCACTCTTCTGGTTCGGCGTCCAGAGTGCCAACGGAGGGACCTGTGTGACCGCTATCATCACCGCCATCTGGCCGAGTTACGCGAGACTCCCTAACGCACTACCCAAGTCGGCGGGTACCACGAGCCAGGGGCTGCTGAGCTACTTCATATACTGGTGTATCCAGTTCCCCTTACTCATGATCCCGTCGCACAAGCTGCAGCATCTGTTCTGGGTCAAGACGGTATTAGTCACGCCGATGGCACTGGCGATGGTTATCTGGATCACCGTAGTAGCCGGCGGTCAGGGCGATTTCTTCTACGCGCCGGCTACGGTGTCTGGGTCTACTCGAGCATGGCTATGGCTATCGAATCTAGTACGCAGACACTCTAGTCCCCCAAACTCCAGATCTTCGATGTGTCTCATCCCGCTAACTACCCCCAGACCAGCGTAACAGGCGGCTACTCCACCCTCGCAGTCAACATCCCCGACTTCTCACGCTTCAGCAAGACGCGCGGCGCACAGCTCTGGCAACTCCCCTTCATCCCCATCTTCAAAACCCTCGTCGGCCTCTTCGGCATCATCTCCGCCAGCGCCTCGAAAAAGGTATACGGGACCGTGTACTGGTCCCCGCTGGAAATCATCGGCCAGTGGCAAGGTTCGCCAGGCGGGAGGGCAGCGGCCTTCTTCGCCGCGGCGATCTGGCTGCTCGCGCAGATCTCGGTGAACATCAGCGCGAACGGCATCTCCTTCGCCAACGACGTCACGTCCCTCGCGCCCAAGTGGTTCAATATCCGCCGAGGCGTGGTGCTGGTCTCGTTGCTGGGCGGCTGGGCTTTGTGTCCGTGGATTATCATCTCGTCGGCTGCGGCTTTCTTGAATTTCATGAGCGCGTACGCGATTTTTATGGCGCCGATTGCGGGCGTTCTGGCCTGTGATTATTGGGCTGTTAAGAAGCGGCGATACGACGTCCCGGCTCTGTACGATCCTGACGGCATATACCGGTATAATAAATGGGGTGTCAACTGGCGCGCTCTGATCCCGACGCTGGCTGTTATTGTGCCGCTTCTCCCGGCTTTGGCGAAGAAGGTTACGCCGCAGAACGTGGATGTTAGTCAGGGGCTCGTGAACCTGTTTACGTTTAACTGGCTGTATGGGTTCTTCGTGTCAGTTGTTATGTACTACGCTCTGAACTACTTCTTCCCGCACGAGACTACGTTGATACCGAATATGATACCTGGAGTTGTTCCGGTTCTACACGCGGTAGATGCGGATGTGGAAAGCGGTTCGGCTCAGGATGAGAAGATGAGGGGGGAGGTGAAAGCAGAGCAGGCCTAGGTCTGCTTCAATTTAAAATCAAGGAGTGGCATTAATGTATAGGTATGCATTGCCTTGTTTATAAATATAGGGGATATATAAGAGTGCTCGTATACCTATACTCCAGAAAATAGTCAGGAGCAAAAAACTCCCCTATTAACCCGCGTCTATAATAACGGACGTATGAAGCTATTTTCCTATCATCCTAGTAATGCCAACTCAGTAGTAATTGGTTTACACCAAACGCCCAGATCCCCCTATGCCAGCCAATATAGAGCTACGACGCAACCTAACCACTATAGCAGTCTGATTCACAGCGTTCGCCTCACAACGTCCCCCCACCCGCGAGCATCCCCGAGGGCACGGGTACTCGGGATCATTCTGCCACGCGAACAGCGGATCCGTCTCGTTTGTCAGGACATCAGCAATCAGAGTACTCGAACTCGGTAGACCCGACGACCGCCGGAACACCTCCGCGGACGGGATCTCGATCTGGTCCCAACCGCTCTCCACAAGCGTGCCGATTGACGTGCCATACACATACTCCCTGAACCCAGCAAATCGCACCGCAGACGCGCACATCGAGCAGCTCTCGGCGTTGGTATATAGCGATAAGTCCGCGAAGGCGGCGAGTGCCTCTTTGGGAGATAGTTTGTAAGGGCCTGAGGGGTTCGTTAAGATTTGTGTGCAGTTGTTGATAGCTGCGATCTCTCCTGCAGTCCTTTCTGTGAGCCTTATTATGCATACTACAATAAGAAGGGATATATATATGTACATGATTGTATATACGTACCATGAAGCGTCGGGTTTCCAGTTGCGCTCCTACTGTTGACGCCTGTGCAGACGAGCTCCCCGAGTCCCGAATTAGCAGTATGGTTCACGATCACGGTCCCGAACGGAGCTTTGGGACAAGGATGGCCGAGAGCGAGGTTGGCTTGGCGCATCCAGTAAACTCTCGTGCTGAATGGGATGCCATTGGTAGATGTCGGTTCGTCGATAAGTGTCTGCTCGTGGTCTACTCTCGGATAGGAGTGATCATGCCCTAGACAGAGGCCTAGGAAACCAGGATAGACGAAAGCAGCTTGGATGATTGATAGCAGCCGCATCGTGTCTTATTATAAAATATAGTTGCTAATAAAGTTTAGAATTTGCCTGGTCTATCGTCATCTAGAAGAGCCATAGGTGTTTATATATTTGCGTATGCGTGTATGTATGATGTATGATGTATGTGTGTCATGAACATAATTTACACCCAGTCACCAAGTTACCAACTATCTATATCCCAGCAATGACGATATGCTATAGAAGGGAAGATATCGTTACTGTTCCCTGTTACGGATTATTACACTTTGATCTTCGTTGGAGACCCCTGGTCTGCCTGTTGATACCGTATGCGGTGCCCCGTATCAACGGCCATTTCCGATAGATAGCCCATGCATATTGGTGATAGAGCGAATCAACGATAATAGACTATATTAATCATTATCCTCTCGCTAGGTGATTGTTTTCTCAGGATAATGACTTTCTCATAATATAAAATAATCAAACTAGTACATAAAATTAGAAAGACTTCATAATGTCACCCAGCGCTACTATTCCAGGGGCGACCTTCACGGTCACGCCGATGAAGAAATCTTCCAACGATAAACATGACTATGGTGCAATCGTCAGTGATATAGACCTGAATGATATCAATGGTAAACGCCAACTCCACCAAGTCATGAGTCGGTCGTTTAACAGAGTCAGATGTCGATGTCCGCCACTTGGCAGATGCTATCTGGACCCATAAAGTAGTCGTGGTCAAGGGACAGAAAGACCTCGCGCCTATAAAGCAGTGGGAGCTTGTGACGCGCTTCGATCCCAATGCGCCACAAGTTCACTCTCACGGCGATTTGAAGACTTTCAACAGCAAAGGAGGATTGCTCTCCGTAAGTAGCCTCAAGATACTGCGGCATGAGCAGAACAAATCCTAAGAGAAAATAAGAAACACCGCGAAGTAGTAGGAATCCCAGGCGCCGAGAACGTCCGCCTGATCGGGAAAGGCTTCCAAGGCGAAGACCACTACGGCATCAAGAACAAGAACATTACCAAACCGCTCTCCCACGACTGGCATGACAAGGAGCTTCCACAAGACGAGTTCGAGAAAGGGAATACCCGGTTCCAACGATGGCACATGGACGCGCCGCTCTACGGGAGGGATCCGGCGTGGTTTACGACCCTGCGCTGTATAAAGCGGCCCACCGAGCCTCAAGTCAACATTCGATGGGATGACGGGTCCGGCCTCAGCATGAAGGCAGAGCCGGGCCTCACGGCGTTTATTAGTAATGTCCAGATGTACGAGATGATGACGGAGGATGAGAAGAAGATGGCAGATCACAGCTGGGTCGAATATGCACCTCATCCGGTAAGTGGATTGTCCTATACTTACCTACGAATACTTGAACGGCTAGTAATTGCTGGAAATAAAACAGTATATGTGGATAGGCAATTGTAAGGGGAATTCCAACGGACTTGGTCTCGTTAGCCAGGGTAAAGAGAAGCTGCTCGAGGATCTAGATGACTTCGACCCGAAGGATGTAAAAACATATCCCAGTACGTATCAAGGACATGCCTAACCCCAAACCCCCTAATTAAAAAGTAGTCATTAATCCCGTTACAGTGGTTTGGGTCAACCCCGTAACAGGCGAGAAAGCCTTCCAAGTCCACGGGATTTGCGCAAGGAAGTTCTTCATCCGCTCGTCCTCGACAGAAGAACCGAGGATAATCGAGGATCTCGTGGAAATCAGAAAGCTGTTGAAGACTATCCAAGAAAGAGTACTGAAGCCGGAGTATATCTTGATTCCGAGTTTAGAAGAAGGGGATATTGTCATGTGGGCAAACTATCAGATGTTTCACACGGCAATCGACTATCCTGACTCATTCGGTCCACGAACTATGCATCAAGCCAATATCGCCTCATCGGCTGGACCGGTGGGCCCGGTTTCAATTCCGGTTTAGACGTGAGGTTTGATGCTCAGATATTGGTAGCGGTTCGCTCGAATGCTTCATCTAGGAGCCGCAAAATATCATAACAGTATGACTAGCGTCAAGGTATCTTATATCTACCCAGGTATCTATTTCATATATGATGACCCGCCGCTAAATTTAAGAGCGCAGCTTCGTTTGAGTAAGATGATTACTCAAATATGCTATCAGCCTCATGAGTGATATGGTACTAAGGCTTGTTGCCTTCATTCACTTTCACGTACCTACCACCGAGTGACTTAACTTGGGGGTCTTTCGACATTCTCTAGAGCTGTCTAGGTGGCGTTTCAAATGGGTATGAAAATCAATGGTGAGATTAATCAATTCCCTAGTCAAGTGCTTTCTGGGCGAGCTCGTCTGCTAAACGCTTGATATAAAAATCTCGCATATCAGGCGGTAACTTACTGAAGCTGTTTGCGATGCGTGTAATGTCTTGGCGGCCTTTTTCGTACTGTAGTTCCTATAGTCAGTAGTGATTACAGATTACATGTAAAATAATTTGACTGATAGAAATGAATAACAATATAAATGGACAAGGATCCAGAACTCACAGCCGCGAGGTCCCGGTTTCCGTACACATCCCTTCCGCTTGAGTATCCATTTTCAAGGTTACGAAAGAAGACGTTAACAGCAACCCCTAAGTTGCTCAATGGAGTGGCAGTATGTAGCCAAAGAGGAGGTAGGAACAGTATATCGCCAGGCTTCAGCAAAGCCTCATGAGGATGTGTTTCGGCGAGAGAAGGCGATTCCAGTTCGGAAAATACGTCAATACTCGAGCTAGACGAACCCGGGGCAAACGAAAGCTTGGTAACATCTGACGGCGGAAACAAGATGAACCTTTTAGAGCCCACTATTTGGCAATATACGTTCGCCATGACCTAGTATAATGTCAGTCAGTTACAGCAGACGTCAAACTCGGGAACCCGCTTACGTCGTAATGAAGCCACATATCAACTGGCCCAGTGATCCGCAATACGGAACTGAATTCGTTCTGTTTTACAAACGAGAGCGCATCGGGCAGTTGAAAATCCTCAGCCAGTTGCGGGAAGTCGACTTTGATATTAGCTGGCTGATCAGATGGATTGTCTCCCGAAAGGGCGCGTAGATATAGCTTTTGGCCATTTGAGATCCCTTGCATGATATCTCCAAATTTCTTCGTGACATATGCAAAATTCTTGCTGTTAAAATCCATCTTCTGACTATCGGCTTCATGAACGACGACCTAGTGACGTGGTTAGGTCGGTTCATATATGGAACTTGGGATAATCCTTACCTCTCTATCAGGGCCAAGTTGCTTCACGATATAGTCTGACGTCCAGGTCTGGGTACAGTTTCCTAATTGACTTGCCTCAAAAACCACAGGTTTTCCGGCTTTTAACACTGCTGAAAATTCGTCTGCTGTATTGATCTGAAGCCTGGGTATATCAACCTTCTTCACAGCCTCCCCGCTCAAAGAAGTCGAGGCATGATTCTGTTCTGTCTCTCCCGTAAGTTCGACAATTCTTGAATGTTTCCATATTCCCCTGTTGCTGTGTGGTGTCGGTACCCCGGTAATAAAAGCCTTAGGAGTGTACCTCAGTGTATAACAGCCCGGATTCCAGAATGTTCCCATGGAGAAACACGTAGCACCTCCGCCCATTACAACCAATTGGCCATCGTTGGCTTGCTCGATTGAAACCCCTATAAGCAATGGCCTAGGGGCGACTGCGATCTGGCAGGCGGAGACAATCATGTAATGTAGACCAGAGATGTCGATAATCAGGACATCAAGATCTCGCGTGACTATGTCGTTTGCGATGATACCCCCAATTATAGTTAGATATCCCTCCGGAGAGATAAAGCCAGAGGCGCCGTAGCGGTTGATTAGGTCGTCGGGATTATTGGCTTTCTGCATCTCCCGTGTCGACGAATTAGAGGGGTTTGAAGTCGATAAAGCTGTAAATGAAATTGTAGGCTTGCCATTTTCTGGAAGTACCAAAGCCCATCGCAAAATCTGTTTAGCGATAATGCCATCCCGAGAGATACCACCTGTCATGACACCATCAAATTGTATACCACCATTTGCCGTGGGATGGGTTGGTCCTCCGAGGCTAACTAACAGGCTGCCAAAGACTGGCTCATATTCTGACCCCTGAATCTCGCACTCAATCCAACCCAAACCTGGCCGATAGAGGAGGCACCCATTGAAAATGGTTGATGCGTCAGATTTGCCTCCGACTAAAAGAGTGAGGTCCGAGTTACCAAGTCTTGTTGCTCCATGCCTGTACAATGGCATTGGGAGGTCATCTATCCGTTGCCATTTGTTGCTCCCTTTATGGAAGAGCCAGCAATCTCGCAGAGCGCTCGACGGAGAAGTCCTGCCTCCAACCAATAAGTTTCCATACTCGCCTAAGTTCGTAATAGTATGGCACATGCGACTACTTGGGCCGGTATGATGCGTCTTGACATCTTGTAGAGTTGACTCGCTAACATAGAGGTCATACGACCTTAATCGACTATTCGTCCCTAGTCCGAACGTATTAGATAAGAACTCTTCTCCTAGGTGATTCTTTAACTTCATCGCAGCGCCAAAACGGCGTTGTCCGCGAGTACCAGAATATTCTCTGAAGTCGGCGTCCAGGGATAATATAGGGGCCTCGAGTCTCTTAAGATCCCTGGAGATGCTAGTAGCCGCTTGAGTCGTTACCAGGTTAGTCTTAGCGATAACAACGCAGTAATGGGCAGCGAAAATTGCAAACTCTTCCCATTCGTCAAAAGGCTCGATCGCGTCGAGTTTTCTCCTCTCGTCTGCCGAAAGCCATTGGTCATCGGCCCATATTTGCCAAAGAGTGTTAACATCGACCTGTGACCAGCCCCTTTTGACGAAACGATCCCGCTGGGTATTGATATTCGGGTAGGTGAAAACAGATTTCAGAGGAGTTTTCAACTTCTCGAAATGCGCCAGCATCGTCTTTGCAAACGGATGATCTTCACCATCTGGAATAATTTGCTCGAGTAGACAGAATTCGGCTAATATTTGTCAGTTCTTAGTGCTAACTGATGGATTAGGATAACCTACCTTGTCCAAGAGTGCTGGCCCATTGAATGACTGAATTTGCGCCTTCAGTCTCCATATATGTAATAGAGACCTCTGCTACAAACATGAATTCGCAATGAGCTATATCAACGACGGTGGAAAGCGCCCGTTCTATATCAGAGATGTTGCGCAAGTCGCAGCCGATCTCGACATACTGATCGCTCTGTAGTACTACATGGTTGCCAACATTCGTTTTCAGCCCAGTTAATGGAGATCTAAGCTCAGGGGTGTCTTGGACGATTCGACATTTCTTTTCTATCAAGTCGGGAAAATCAATGTCCACGAACTTGGCATTTAGACATTTGTCAGGGTATCTGGTAATACACTGCCATGGGAGCACGTCACTACTAAGGATTAGAGACCATATCGAATATAACGAGACGAGATGGAAGCCTACCTTCCACATCCTAGATTTATGACGACCTTTTTCTTTTCTGAAGGCCTTTCAAGGAATCGACGAACAGCAACATCGATTACATGTAGTCGAATATGATAGCCTCGATTGATCAATGGAGCTCGCCGCTGGAACTTCTTCACGAAGAAGCGAAAGAAGTGAGGCTCGTTTGGATAGTAGATGCGTTCTACACTCCTTTTGGATACGATACTGCTGCTGTTTGTCTTAAGGGGCAAATTAGAGAATTAAGATGTGTGTGTGTATGGATAGGAGAAACAAGACGCACAGCCATAACTAAATCGTCTAGGGCTCGTTCCTTTGCTGAACGGCCCGGGCCTTGCTCGCCCTTGACTTTGGTAGTAGTAGCCATCCTAATTAAAGGAGGCACGTGGGAGAGTAATCCTGTAGGTATGATTTGGTAAGAGTAACGATAGGTTGGTTAGTTGAGAGTAAGATGATTAAGTCAGCAAATCTTATTAGGTTTGCCCGTATTGAATTAATCAGGTACTTAATCTTTGACTAAGGCCGAGATGTCTTTTCCCTTTACGTTTATTTAATATGTTACTATCCTTAAATTTGAGGCTCATTTTTATTTTTTACAAAGCACGTCTTTTCAAAATATCTATGTTAATTAATAAGAGTTATCTCATTACCTAATTCAAAGATGGAAAATTGTGCCAACTTTTTAACCCTCAAATCCGTTGTAGTTGAGACTCGTCTTGTTCAAGCAGCGACGCACCCTAGGCTAGACTAGACAAGGGCAAGCGCTATAAAACCATTAGCTACAGTGGGGGGACAAAAAAACCGCACACCCTCATTTTAACACTTACATTTCAAATATTTATATAATATTAAATAAAATAGATAAAAATAAAGCATTTGTATAAGGTTATATTAAAATTGATTAAAGATAATGAATTAAGTTTTTAAATGTTTTTAAATCTTAAATTAAAAATGTAAACATTTTATTAAATATTAAAATATTTAAAATATTTTATATATAACAATTTATTTTTTAAATTTTAATTATAATTTATATTTAAAAATTAATTTTATATTTTTAAATTTAAGATAATTTTACTAATAGTTTTTATATATACTTTATTTTAATTCATTTTATTTAAATTGATATATATTGTTGAAGTTGATATATTTTGCAGTAAAATCGTGGGGTGTGCGGTTTTTTTGTCCACTAAGTGTAGGTACAATAGGTAGGTACCTAACGTGACCTAACATGCGGTAGTGATCAGCGCATGGGTTCATCAGTAGGCACGAGTCTAAAAGGCTTAAGCTCCACAGCTATAGCGTAATAGCGTGCTATGTTAACTGTTTAAAAAGGTGTGCGTAACGATACCAGCGATACGTACCAGGTGGTTCCCCGCCTGACAATAGCATCTGATTGATGATTTCAACCTTTCTCCCCCACCCAGAATCCAAACTCCAACCTCCTCGGATTTTTAGCATCTCCAGCTCTTCCCGAGTATCGACGAACCTAGGAAGCTCAGTTACAGTACAGCTTAATCAGCGACTAGGCTTTTCAGATTTTCCCCTTACATTGTCCCGACGAATGAAGCTATTACTCTAGTCTAACTTGTTGATTTCCCTTTGTCATGACGGGGAAAGATATACTCGAATTGAGACGGCTTTGACGCAGAGACCGCCTTTAGATTGGAGTCGGACTTACAGGCCAAGCTTCGTATTCATCGTATTCATCGTATTATAACTTTAGGACGTCATAATCGAGTACATCTTACACCGAACTATTTAATATAAAGCTGCAATAGCTATTCCTATTTTCAGTTCCGAACCGCCCGTCTTACTTTAGCCATGTCGAACCCGGCTCTCAATTTCGTTACTTTCAACCAAGATCACAGCTGCCTAGCTGTCGGTATGTCGATTCTTGTTCTAGCCCTGTCTCTCTACTAGTAGTAGATGGTAAAGGCAACAAATCCCTAAGAAGTTAACAACTATAGGTACCTCGAAGGGATTTCGTATCTACCACACCGAGCCGTTCTCCAAGATCTTTAGTAGCGATGATGGCAATATCGCTATTGTCGAGATGCTTTTTTCAACTTCGCTCGTCGCTTTCGTCCTCTCCCCTCGCCATCTTATAGTCCAGAATACGAAGCGCGCCTCCGTTATATGCGAACTTACCTTCCCATCTGCCATCCTTGCTGTCCGCCTAAATCGCAAGCGATTAGCTGTTGTGCTCGAGGATGAGATCTACCTCTACGATATAACTACTATGTCACTACTCACTAATATTGCCACCTCTCCGAATCCTGCCGCTGTCTGCGCATTGTCGCCTTCCCATGAACATTCGTATCTCGCTTACCCCTTGCCGAAACCCCGCGAAGATGCTCAGGATAAGCGACCTTCGCACGCGCCGCCAGCTTCGCTCTACGCTCCCGTAACCTCCGGAGACGTCCTTATATATAATACGTTAACTATGCAGGCCGTTAACGTAGTCGAGGCACATCGCTCTCCCCTGTCCTGTATTGCTCTCAACAGCGAAGGAACCTTGTTAGCAACAGCTAGCGAGACGGGGACAATCATCAGAGTATTCTCGGTGCCCCGTGGGGAGAAGCTTTTCCAATTCCGACGTGGAACATATCCCAGCACAATCTATAGCATGTCCTTCAATATGGCGAGCTCGCTTCTCTGCGTATCTTCTACTTCAGATACCGTACACATATTTCGACTCCAGCAGCCAGGGCCTAACGGTAACAACGCTGAGGCTCAGACCCCAACCTCTCCTAGGAAGGATCGTTGGTCTCGTAGTCGTAGCTATGATAGTGGTAACGATTCGTCTAATAGCGCACAGGGCTCTCCACGTAGTGAGGCGGCCGACGTTCCAACATCGCCAGCGAATAAATCCGTGGCGAATAGGAGGCAAAGCGGGTCATTTAGCAGCATGCTGCGCCGGTCATCGCAGATAATGGGTCGCAGCGTAGCCGGCGTCGTCGGAAACTATCTACCACAGACCGTGACGGAGATGTGGGAGCCCCTGCGCGATTTTGCGTACATCAAGATACCAAAGAGCACGTCCGCAGCGCCACGTCCGGGCGGAGCGGGCAACCAACAACTACGCAGCGTGGTGGCGATGAGTAGTAGCAGCCCGCAGGTTATGGTTGTTACCAACGACGGCGGGTTTTACGTCTTCAACATCGATATGGATCAAGGTGGAGAGGGCTACCTTGTGAAACAGTTCTCGTTCGTGCTACCGCCTTCTTGTCTCTCTTCTTTGTTCGAGTCCTAGCCTAACTAACTATTGTCCCTCTAGTGTCCTCGATAGCGACGATAAGCTCGATGCCTCTAATTATGGACCGTAGAGCAGTCATGCCGGCACGAGCAATGTTTCTAACAATCTAGACGGTAGAATGGAGGAAGAATTAAAGATAGGAGAGGATGATGATGATGACGAGGATGGGCAACTCGGCGGTGACTATTGGCAGCACGTCACAAGGGGGTATTAGCATTCGGACGGCGTTCACGGTTACGTAGTTGGGAGCATGGGTGTTTTGTTCTCCCTCATTTTTTTCTTCTTAATTCTACGGCTCGTCTCTGCTGCACCGCGAAAGCCCTACTACTATCTGAAAACGGTCATACCCCCCCAGAGAAGGAGGATTTGTGTTTTGCGTGAAGGAGAGCGTCGTGTTTTTGCATTAAGCGTCTGGCGTCCAAGCGGCCTTGGTTCATAGTTACGAAGTTACCGAGTATCGAGTATCATCATCTACTTTTCCAATACAGATTACTAATATTCACTGCCGAAGAGAACAAAGCGTTATTAATACGTAGTGGCAATTTGTTGAACGCACACGTCAGCATTGAGGCAGAATTGACTAGTCTGGAGTGGTATCGTCCACTGTGGCTCAGTCCTAATCCCCTTGACAGTCTTATTATTTGAAGATGATGATATCCAGTTCCGTAATCCCTAAACCCCTTTGAATTTCCCTCCAGTCCAGTCCAGTCCAATCCTTCCTTCACATACATGTACGTACGTACTACTTGCTACAACAGTGCTACAATAAACAATTCAAACGTAAGGTAATGCTTCAACACAACCCGATCCAACCCCGTCCTTTCATCCGCGAATGTTCGAAATGAAAAACTGTCTTCTTCAAAAACCACGACGCCGCGGCGCCGGTAGATGAACTGATGATGCAACAGGGCCCCGGGGTAGGTATGTGGTACCTCCCCCCTGGTTTTCAGCCCTCTATTCCCTCCCCTATCTCGGTATTCGAGGAGAAATGCAAAAAAAAAAAAAAAGGTCGTGTCATACCGTCGTTAGAAGTGAAAATTCATGAGGTGCTTCCGCCTGGTCCGCCAACTCCGAAACGAAGCACAATCGTAAATCGAGAAATAGAAATGTATGGGGTACTGCTGTACATTTCGAGAGTCTAATTAGTCAGGCGTGGGCACAGACGGTGATGATGAGTTTGACTCATCATCACTCTCGACTCTTCCGCTGCTCCTAGTCGTGATTTTACGGCAAATCGAGATTGGAGCTGATCTTCAATAAATACGAACCACCCTAGGATTCAGCACGACGGCCCAGAATCCGATAGCTTTGCTCTCAACGCAAAGCTTATATTGAGTTTCGAAGCATCGACTGCACCGTCAATGCTTCGAAATACGATATTTCCGTCACAAAGCCGGCTCTAAACATCTTATCTCGCATAAGGGCGATTCATCGACGCGATCTCTCGCGCGATCTCGCCCCACTCGAGTTCTCTTCGGATACCTCGCCCGGCATCGTGGGAATTTTCAGCCCATTGACGTCTGAGCTGCAGCATCTCCTCCCACTTGAGCAACTCGTACGCGAACCTCAGATGGGGCTGAATAATAACATTGAGCCGTCGAGCACGCACAAAGCAGTACGCCCGTGGGAATGAGAGGTTGAGAGACCGCATCACCTCTGCGATGCAGATGGTCGCGCTGCGGGAAACGCCGACGCGGCAGTGAACCAGGGTGGCGGTGCCGTTCCGTCGGCCGCGCTCTGTTTTGCGGTTAGTGAGCGGGTCTTGGACGGGGGCGTCTTAGATAATAACGTGAAAATTATGAATATTAATAGGGACGAGCTATATAATACGCTAGGGCCAAGGGAAAGTGGATAAACAACATACCGATGAATTCCAAGCACTTTTCGAACTCCTTGGTTAGAGGGTCGATGCCGTTGTCCTGAACCTTCTCGACTGCGAGCACGTTATCCGCGCCCCAGGACTCGAGGTCACCGTCTCGCCACATGGCCGTCTCGCCTACGCTGAGGATCTGGTTGATGCCCATGGCCTTCAGCAGGTCCGGGTTGTTGGCGTGGCCGAGGTTGCCCAGGTACATGTAGTCGAGGATGCGGCTGGGGAACGAGCCGTCGAGGGAGGCGAGCCACTTAGGCTCGTTGCGCACGAGGTTCGTAATTTCCAGCAGGCTCTTGTCACTACAGATGGGGGACTCGCGGAGAAGACGGGGCGCGATCGAGGTCAGCAAGGACACGTCGGTCGGATAGGCGAAGAAGTTTCGCTTCATCTTCGTGTGCAGATCCATCCAGGCTTCGTGGACCGGTCGGCCGGTGCTATAGCTGAAGTATGCGATACCGAGCATGGTAGACTCG